TAACTCACCTCTCTTTAAACAGGAAGCCAAGTCAAACAGGAGCCAAGCATAGATTTAAGCAGAATCTGATCCTGTGTGAGTGTGTGTGTGTGTGTGTGTGTGTGTGTGTGTGTGTGTGTGTGTGTGTGTGTGTGTTAACCAAGCTGCTCAGACCCCTCAATAGGCTTCTATAAGTCTGACTCACACACACACAAAGGGCAGAGTGTTTCCCTCCCTGTGATGGAAAAGTAAATCAGAGAGGGGGGTCTGACATCAGAGGCCGACTCCTAAAACTGACTGCACCATTCAAAGCAGAAACTAACTTTGTGTTTCCCAGCCACACTGACACAAAATGCAACCAAAGCGCCCCTTGTTCCCCTTATTTCTGTGCCATTTAAACCAATACAAAGTTGAAACCAGCAAATACTCACATTTTAAAAGCTGGGACCAGCTGAAACAAAAAAAATCGTTTTTAATTGATTTGAAAACCAGATCCACAAATAACGTTATTTCTATTGTGAAGAAATTATAAAATTAACCCACCAATATTCGGTTCTCAGTAATAGAGGAATCCAGTTTTCATATTTAAGAAGAATAAATAAATAAACTGAATGGATAAATGTATCTAGTGTGGTTGGGCAATTTAAAAATGTGTCATTACTACACACACACTCACCTAATGCCTTGTTTGAGTAATTTCTGAAAGGTCAGAGGTCAGGGTGACAACAGCAGACCGCTGAACCAGAGGGACCACTTTCTGACACTGGGTTCAAACAAACTGGTGTTATCTGCTTTAAAAACAGCCTTTGACCACATGTAAAAGCTAGTCAAGAAAATACTTCAAATGTGTACTGCTGTATGTAATGTGCTGCTGATTAGAAAACAAACAACTGAAGTATTTCAACAACGATCGTCACTTTTTTTCCCTTCGCAACAGCCTTTACAGGCACCAGCTTTCAAAGTAGGGGGATGGGTGACTCATCTTCTTCTCCCTCAAACACACACACACACATACACACACACACACACACACACACACACACACACACATACAGCACACACACACATATAATAATAATAGAAATACAGCAGAAGCCGCAGCACTTATGACCTTGTCAGTGTTCAGTGTACCAGGCCTCCTCAGCAGCATCAGCATCATATTCTCTGCAGCTTCACTGAGGCTGCAGGGCCTCTGTTCAAACATCATCCTGCATGCTAAAGGATGCAGCAACGCAGCATCCCAGCGGTACCCAGACTACAGCTAAGAGCTAGGACATCTGAGAGACGAGGTCATGGGATTAAGACACACCCGAATATTGACATAAAGCAATTGAACAAGGCTGTATTTATGCTATGACTGGAGCTAACTCATGATTTACGGGTTTTAAACGCGTAAAACCAGAGCCTCCATGATGGCTGGCACCGCCTTTGCATCATCCCAGCCCATTAGCTTTCTTGAGGGGAGGATTGAAAGATATATATATATATATAAAAGAACCGGGAGATGATGAAATCTTCTTATTGGAAAATGACATTAAGACATAAAAAAAATAAGGAATAAAAGTCAGATTTGTTGTGAGGTTAGTGAATGAAAATGAAGACAGTTTAAGAGAGTATATTTGTCTTTTGTCAGCAAACACTAATTCATATTTAAACACTATTCACACCAGCGTTTTTAAAAGACTTTCAACATCGTTTTCATTCATTTCAAGCAAGCACGACAAATGCTACTGAAAAGAAACACCTTCCCTGACATAAACACGAAACTGTCAAGATTATTTCCTGGAAGAAAATGAAGGACATGAACGTCGACCCGGCGACGAGGACAGTTTCTGTAGCCGACAAGCTAGCAGTAGTTATCATATAAATATACACAGTTACCTTTGTGTACAGCTCCGACGCTGCCATGACGGTCACTCGCTGTGTCCTTTACTCCAGTCTGAGCTAAACCTCCGGCGGCTCTCCACACTGCATGAACCCGGCGTGTGTTTCCCTGCAGCGGTGCAGGAGAGGGGTTTTTTTTTTTACACTGCAGAAAGCTCAAGCAGAAGATGCGTCTCTTATCGCCATGATAACCTGAAAACAAGCTCCGGGCTGCTGAGGTTTCGGTGTCTCACTTTGCATTCTGGGTATGATGGATGAAATGATTCAGCCAAACTGGAGGGGGTCTATCTGCCGCGTGGGAAAACTGCGCCCCCTGATGGTCAGTGGTTGAAAATACATCAACAACAAAACATTTTTTCCCCCCACCCCACGCAACCGAGTAGCACCTGAAACATCTAAATAGGCTAAAAAGGATAAATCTGTATCAAGTTTGTTGATATTCCTACCTGGCTTTCATGATGCCTACTTGTCTACTACTATCTTCCGTGGTTTTCTCCCTCGGAAACCCCACCTTCTTGATATAAAGCATACACTACATACATATAAATACAGTCTTTGATCAGTTATTTGTCAGGATGGTCATTATCAGGCAGTTTTATAAATGTTTTAATGGTAATATCTAGTTCGAGTAAGAAAATCAACATCGTAAAAAAAACAAAAACATTTTTTATTGTGCTTTGCATTTATTTTATATTTATATTTTTTATATGCACACAATTTTCCTACGTTTTCTCCTGTTTTTTTTTTCAACAAAACATATAATTAAGGAAACATTGTTCCCACTTTATAAAGAAAAGGACAACACAATTTTGCATTCTAAACTGAATGAATTTGCAATATTTGTTTTACCATTTTGCAAGATCATTTAAGATAAGATAAGATAAGATATACTTTATTCATCCCAGCAGGGAAATGTAGGTGTTCCAGCAGCCAGCATACATACAAACACACAACACAACACAACACATATATACATACATATCCCACTCGTACAAAAAAACATGAGCCCACAATACAGTTTGATATATGATATATGCAACTCAGGCTAAAGTTTAAAAGTTTAAATGTCTTCTGTCCTTACTTAAAGGGGAGTCGTTATAAAGTGCAATTGCAGTATGTAAAAAAGTATTTCTAAATCTGTCCTTTTTGCAGCTTAGCTGCCGTAGCCTCCCACTAAAAACACTCTTGTTCACACACGAGATTGTGTAAGGGATGCATGTGTTACAGGTCTCAGGCTGGGACCCATAAACAAATAAGGTTCCTGTGTAAACAGGAGAAAGATGAGAAAGACAACAGTGCTTCTGCTCAGTGCAGCTTCTCTCAGCATAATGAAGAAGCGACCAGAGTCTGCAAACAAAGAGCGTCCAAGGGAGAAGCACAGCGCCACACTGCCTCCTACTGGCAACACTGATATGTGCAGTTTATTCTAAATTGAAACTCTTCAAAGAAATATTTCACTGGCCAACATGGCTCATATTAAAGTGCCCCTTTATATTACTTATAAAATAAACCAAACCAGATATAAACATAAAATGTGACAACACCTTTTGTGTGCGTCACACATGTTATTGTCCATAATGTTCTAACAACTCGGTTAGCATTATATGCTATGGTATTTGAAAAGAATATTCCCTTTTCTCTGATACTTCCGATTTAAAGTTATAGAACAACATGAGAAAGTCTTTAATGATTATTATTTTTAACACATTTATAAAGATGCAACACAGTGCTGGAGTCACAAAAAATGAAATACTGTCTTGTTTAATCAGAAGCAGATCTCGGCATATTGCTGTCCATCATGAGCCTGGTGTTATCCAAGATTTCTGCCTCTTAAAAGGAAGGTTTTCTTGCAACTGTAACTTTGCTAAATGCTGTGCTCATGATGGATAAACGTTGGGTCTCTGTAAAATATGAGTAAGGTCTTTTACCTGCTTTTTTTAGTCTCAAGAGAGTGAGACTAGAGTGAGCGAGGCGCTACACAAATAGAGATTGATGACCTCAGCACAATGCAACTGCTCTGTGGCTGCAAGAGGTCATTCTGTTATGCTATTTTTTCCTTCCACTTTAAAGTTGTTTTTTTACAAGTACATTTAACTTCGTCAAAATGTCTGGTTTAAGATATAAATTGAAATTGTGAAATTAAAATGTACAAGTAATCTAGTCTCATCAAAGTAACTTGTTAGGTCCATTAATACGAGTTAGTGTGAAATGTACTCATGGAGCACTTCTGACACAAAATCAAAGTTAAAAACACAACACAGAATTTCAACATTTGTGCAAAACTATTTTATTTACAAAAACAAAATGGCACAAAGTGACAGCAGGGCAGCCATATACATGCACAGCTCAGACTGATGTAGTGTTAGCTTAGATTTACCACATCACTTTTTTAAAAATCAATCACACTTTTTTGTTCCCAGTGCCAAGTGTGATCCCAGTAAAATTTTACCATGAAATAAATCTAATCGCACAGATTACAGGAAAACAAAGCCTGGTCTCTACTCACAGGTCCCATATAGTCCTCTTTTTGAGCATGATGATTCATTCATGATAACTTGGAACCAGACTTTGGCCTGAGAAGAGACTGCGTCATCATCCGAGGCTAAAATGCTCAACACACCACAAATACAGTGTTAAATGTCAACAATGCAGTTCAAATTGAGACAACACCCTCCCTTCCTCTATCTTTTATTTCAAAAGCAGAACACTTCCAAGTTTTGACAGCTGGTACATGACAACACCCAGTAGACCTGAGCTTTTCAGCATCTGCGTTTACATGTTTGTGCTCAGTGCACTTTGAGGAATTAAAAAGGCGCTCATTGAGAATCATTTGCGTCACACATGCAGATCCATATGAAGCAGTTTTCTCCTTTACTGTGTGGTCATGTAGCACGCCTTTCCTCCCCGATTCACAATCAAAGCGTTTTCAAAACTGAGCTTGGCCTCTGGATTACAATCAAAGCGTTTTCAAAACTGAGCTTGGCCTCTGGATTACTATATATAGTCAATGAGCTTTTCAGCATCTGCGTTTACATGTTTGTGCTCAGTGCACTTTGAGGAATTAAAAAGGCGCTCATTGAGAATCATTTGCGTCACACATGCAGATCCATATGAAGCAGTTTTCTCCTTTACTGTGTGGTCATGTAGCACGCCTTTCCTCCCCGATTCACAATCAAAGCGTTTTCAAAACTGAGCTTGGCCTCTGGATTACTATATATAGTCAATAACTCAAGCATATTGACAGCATAATTTAGAGTAAGGACATACAGTGAATGATACAAGTCTGATGTCTGATTAAACATTCTAAAAGGCTGATGTCTGCCCTTGTGCCAAACAAAAGGAATTATATATATTTACACAAACTTCCAAACGGAGGGATCCTGATGGCCTTACTAAAGCCCTCCAACCGTACAAGACACAGCTTCTTCTGCTCGCTCTTCTCTTCAGCCAGTAATCAAGGTGGTTGTAAAAGAGGTGTCTAGTCTGCTAATCACACTCACACGCGGATGTCCTGTCTTTATGAGTATCTTACATGGAAGTACAGAGGAAAATGAAAAAAGGAACATGGGAAAGTAAGCGGACAATGACAAAGGGGCTGTAAGTCTGGGGGAGGTAGTAGAGACATGGCCAGATGAGGTGGAAACAAAAATAAAAGGTCTGCTGGGTGCTTCTAGGTGTGGGGTGGGATCATGTAAGGTTGGGTCCAGGCTTGTGAGGAAGGGACGGGTAGTAGTGTGAGGGGCAGGAGAGGTATATTACAGCTTTGAGACTTGAGTGGAAGGGTTAGAACTGGGGAAAAGGGTTGGGGTGGGGGTTGGGGGTTCTAGTGGGGCTGTGTGGACATCAGCCTGCCAGTTTGCTGGCTACCAGAGAAGGTTTCCTCTGGGGCAGGTCCTGGGGGGTGGGGATGTGGTCCCCTGTGATCTCGGTCTTCTCTGGTGCAGCTGTCGGCAACTGCTTGTTCTTTATTTTCGCTTTAGCCATGTTGTAATCCCCAGAGTCAAAGTACTTTTGCTGTAGAGAGGCAGAAATAAAAAACATTTAAAATTGTGTCGGATCAAAAAATAAATTAATAGTGTTAAACAGTTAACATTCAGACTAATAGAAATCTTTAGTATGCAAAGAAAATAACAACAGCAATCATAATAAGCCTATTTTTTGAATTTGATTTTGATCAAATGATGACATAAAAACATGCATACTCTACAAATTGGGATCTTATTTTGAAGATACTCCGTAAACCCCTTTTTGTCATGTCAAAAGCACAGAATGTCATTTTAATCTGGACTGAGAACCTAGCCTGAAAAATCGATTTTGCCCTTACTTTTTATTATTGTCATCCTTGTTTATTTTTTTTTCTTTGGGGGATATGTGCCAGGGGAGGGGTACGGGTGGGGTTGAGGGGTCTAATTGTTTGTATGTATGTGTTTATCTTGTTTTTTTATTGGAAAAAAATACACATTCTGTACGGACATTACTAAATGGAAATATTGTTAATATGTAAAAGCAATAAAGAAAGTTAAAAAAGGAAAAAAAAAGAAGATACTCCGTAGAGTTTTTGAAAAATAGTAGTCCATTGAGCTCTCGCCTCTCTCTCTCTGGATGTTCCAATGTCTTGCATGTATGTAATTATAATGTTAGGAGAAGATGCAGTAAACTTTTTAATCAGACACTACTGGCAGAGCTTTAGGAGCAGTGCATGTACAACTAGGTTAGGCTTTTTATGATGGGTTTCTGTAAAGAATATAAAAAAGAGTAACCATAAGTCTGTATGCTCTTGTTTTTGCTCTCTTTGTTTGTCTCTATTCAGCTCTTTCTCTCTCTATCTATCTCACTGCCTTTGCTCATCCTCTCACAGTAGATTGAACACGAGTTATGGTTCTGCTCAAGGTTTTCTCCTGTTTAAAGAAACTTGTGGTTTTGCCACTGTTGCCAAATACTGACAAGTGCTTGCTCTTGGTGGATTTATGTTGCATCTCTCTTAAGAATATAAAAAAATAGAACAGTAGACCTGCTTTTTGGTAAGTATCCTGAAATATATTTTGTTATGATTTGGTGCTATACAAATATAATTGAATGATCGATATTAACCAGTTCAGGACCTGCATGCATCAGGGGGAGCTGGAGAAGTAATACACATTGTTTCTGATGTTGTGGAAGTATTCTGCTGATAAGCTAACTCAGAGAAAAATGCTGAGATGCACCAACAAAGGTCCATTAAGAAAAAAATCATCAAACCTACATTTAGTTTTACCGTATAAATGACTTAAGTCACATCTTGTGAAGCAAGAAAGCAATAAATAAAATTAAATCAAAACAGTTTTTCAATGATTAGCCAGTCAGACAGAACGTCCACTTTTTAAAATAATATATTTATAAATAAACACAGGCTTTTATCAATTACAAATTACAACACAACCCTAAAGTGCTTCAACCATTTTTAGAGATCAACAGTCTTGTTGTTTTACCAGTTTTCTGGTATGTTTCCTTGGTAATAAATGAACTGTCATTCAAATTGTTTGTCAACATATTTTATGTGTAAGAACTAATCGTTTCCAGCACTGTGATGATGTAAATCATGTCAAAGTATATGGACACAGTGTTATTAAACACTTGGTTGATACATTGTGTGAGGTACACCACACCTTGCTCAAACAAACAGTGCTGACATACATCCCTCTAATAGATCCTACATTCACAAAGTACAAAATGTTCTGTTTTAAATGAAACTGTCAACATCATTTTGTTTTACTATATAGTCATTTGTGGATTTGTACAGTGTTGTAATGACATGTAGTCTGTCCTCATTGATAGAAGCGCATGCTCCTTAAAAATCTAGAAGGTGACCATGAATTAACATTCACTTGCTTAACTGCATTAGTTAAAGTATTTAAAAAAAAACCTCCCTCTAAAGAAGGACAGTGGATCTAATCACTGCCCTTTAGTGAACTCTGAATGTTTTGTAGAAAAACACAAAAGATAACTCACCCCCTTCGTGAGGCGTTTGCGAAGCAGATCAGGGCCTCCATGTTTGCTCCCTAAATTTGGGTATCTGGCCTTTAGTTTGGCCTCCTCTGATTTCTCAGGGCTGATCACCTTGTCCTGAATCTCCTAAAAACAAAGCAGATACACGATTCATAGAGGAAAAAAAACAATATACTGCACACCAAGAGATTACATTCATCAAGTGCCTTCAGGCCCCCCTGCTGAAATATCTGTCAGCTGATTGCACTGCAGTAATCTGGCCATGTTAGACCTATGGCTATGAATGAATATGAAACAAAGTCCCAGATATATCAGAATAATGCTTATTAACAAGTGCTGAACTATCAATTTATGATAACCAGATAACCTATTCACGCTTTTATTCAAGTTCAGACTCTAAATACTATGGTTTTATGCAGATTTTCCCTCCTTCTTACCAAAAGGCTGGTGTTTGCTCGACAACCCACGCACAGTATCCCCTGAAGAGCTGAGCTGTGTGTGTGTGTGTGTGTGTGTGTGTGTGTGTGTGTGTGTGTGTGTGTGTGTGTGTGTGTGTGTGTGTGTGTGTGTGTGTGTGTGTGTGTAGCCTTAACCAAACAGCCCACAGGTTGCTTGTAAAATTGCGCTGTAGCTAAAAATGGTGTTAGCTGGGTAATGAATAGCACGCAAAACTGCAATGGCTTATGTGGAAATAAAGACAAAACCCTACCAACTCCAACACAAGGCTTCAAGTCACGGCGAAGCAATCGTTTGGTTTAGCTAAAGTGAGCAGGTGAGCTAACAGTGTGTGTGTGTGTGTGTGCGTGTGTGAATGTCATGACAGCTAGCTTAGCTAAAGGGAAGCTGCTAACATCTCAGTATCTGTGACATTCACACTCAACCAGCTGACAACATTTATATATTCAACACTACAACAACAGGCCAGCTAAACGGGAATGCAATGCCGCGCATGAAGTTTGACCCAAAGCAGTCTTTATTGTGGCCACAGCTCTTGAGCTTGATATGTCAACAATGACGAGCGCGGGGCTAAGAGGCTAAGCTACATAATGTAGCTTCAACAAAGTCACCGGTGCTGACTTGCTGATGTCAGATTGGTAATGCGCATCACCTTTACCTTCTCGTCCATTGAGGTCTCCTCTGTCGTTTGCGTTTCTTCGTTATCCCCCGACATGTCTACGGTGCCGTAAAAACCAGAGCGGAGATTTCCCACTAGTTGACAAGTGATCCACAAATCCCCTGCTCTGACTGTCCGTACCATACGAGTCCTGCGCGCACTCCCGCGACAAGAACTACTACGTCACATGCGGAGACACCAGGCGCGCTCCCGTTCGGGCACTTCTGCCTTGTGCGCGCACACACAGTGCCTGGGATCGGATTTACATTACGTAACATGCCGATCAGCTGTTAGCCCCATGTGCTGCAACACAAATCCAGGTTTTAGTCAAATAATCCTTAAATCTGGATCAAGATGAATGCACTGCAGTTCATTTTGTGTTTCCTCATATTAACAGTGTTTCATAATGGAGATTGCTTTGTGGGAGAGTGAAACATGCGGTTGCTATGCGGTATAATAGACAGCAAAGCATTAATGTGTAAAACACTCTTTTACAAGGGCAACAGTATCAATAAAGCGTATTGAGGCTTTGCAGATTAATTGAATTTTCATGACCATTACCCATTTGCAGCTCTGTGTGCATTTTGACTGCAAGAGCCCACACTTGTGAGCTGTTGTAAATAGCTGGGCTGTTACAGGTGTCACAGCCTGTTTGAACAGGACACCTGCTGATTGCAGCTGCACAGAGTTGTGCAATAGTAATTATTGCTATAAATATACCTCACAATATTGAAATACTAGGGAAGTGCTTTCCTTTCAAGGGACTTTATGTTTTGGGACAATCATATAATTTACTGCTCTTCTTTTGATTTCAATTTTTACCAACTACAAGAATCTTCTTTTGAATTAATACATTTATATTCTTCACCTCTCAGGTGAAGAAAGTAATAGATCCTTACTGTTAACTTGTTTAGTCTGCTGCCACTGTTACCTGGCCGATGTATGGATGGATTAGTGCAAATATTGTTGGGTGACCTTTGGGCTGTTTTGATCCTAATTATATAAACAGTGAAACAAGTTTTGACTTAATCTTAATCTCAACTGCTAATACAGGCCAGGCCAAATTTATATATTACAAAGTACAGCTTGTATCAATAGACCCGTCCCTCTATAATTGAATTCAATAATGGCTTGATTAATTCTCTTGCATGGTCCGTTTCCTTTGTAATGTATTCAAGTAGGTTGCTTGTAATGATCAAGTTCTAGGGTATTTGATGAGCACTGCTATTTGCACAGATGAGCTCACTCTTACATGTGTATATAAACTATGTAGCAAGGAAAAAACAGAACTTAATGTAGGTTTTGAACCAGAAAGTGCATTTATAGTGATTCATATGAAGGTCATTAGCAGTATATCAGCTGTCACACCTAGCTCATTATTGTAGTCATGAGAGCAATGAGGAATGTTCTGACTTTTATATAACAATTCCTGATTCCTCATTGACTTTTTTTGTCAGTGGAGAAACCTTTATTAATATTTTTTTCTTTCCATGAACAATTCCCTCCAGTATGACTCTAAGCAGATGTAGTGAACAGGAAACATGATGAGGAAATGATAACACAGAGAGACAGAGAAGCTTTAGAAGATATATTTATATATTTTTTTCAGATTTGAATATTAATGTCAAAAATACATACTATGATATACAGTTTGCACTACATCATCTTAGCATGACAGACGTCACAAGTAGTAACTGAAATATTAATTTAAATATTAAATAAACTGATGGTTAAGTAAACTGAAAGTGAATGTGTAAACACTGTACTAAGGTTACTCTTCCTATTGCAACACTTCCAATAAAGTGGTTCTGTAACAGTACAAAAGTATTAGAATATGACTATTTTCTGTTTCATTTCCAGTTATTATGAGAAAAATAGATCCACAGTGTACTTCTGATGATCTGCTATGATGCTTTCAGTTGAATCTAGCTTGATTGCTTGTTTGACTTCTTTAGTGGTCCATGGTACATGTTGTTTTTTGGACGAGGGCATGGCGCTGCACCAGTCTTCCTCTTCCTTATGCGCTCCCTCTGCTCCGAGCTCAGGAATCACAGGGACAAAGCCGACTGCACTTTCAGTTCAATCAATTTGATCTTCAAAGATTTGAAACTAAACAAGTCACAATTAAAAGGGCCTGGTATTGCATTTATAAAGACACTTAGATTGATCATTTATTCATTATGTCAATAAAACATCCAATCAATAATTTGATTTTGAGCAAACAGATTAATGTAACCTGGACTCTTGCTTTTGTAGAGACCGTTCTCTACTCTCTTGCCAGATGCTGGAGGATACACACTCACAGCAGGAAAAATTGTTTCCTATCATATCTGCCCTTCTTCAACAGGAGAATACAATCTTAAACATTACTTTTTTGACTTTTGAACCAAACTCTCGTATTTTAGCAGAGAACAACGTTCATTTCTGACGAGTCTCCTAGCCTCTTAGCACCTTCTTTGTCAGTCCTGGTGACAGAAGGGATAAAACTTAACATTTTGGGCACAGGTCAGGTGAGTCTTGTTGATAACTGTCCAGAAGTTGCTGCTTTTTTTAGCCTTGTCATCTAGCCATTGGCTGAGTCAAAGTCTGTCGCTGGCATTTAGGTGTGATTGATGAAACGCTCGCAGCCTGCAGGGCGGAGGGAGCGAGGAAGTCGGGTCTCAGCAGCGGGGAGAGAACGGTGGGTCAATAGGAGACTCTGTGAAGGACTGGAGCTCGTAGGCAGCACCGCTGTCCACCTCCATGGACTTCCTGGAAAACAGCAAACGGATGTCCCTGTGGAGGTAGATCTTCCCAGACTTCGAACTCTGGAACCTGGTTGTGATTGGAGAGGGAAAGAAAAAAAAAAACAGGGACGATGAATAATGAATAATGGAGGGCAAACAGAATTTCTAAAGAATACATTCCAGTCTCATTGGTTTCCTGAAGACAAATGATAGCCTACTGACCTCAGATTAACGAGGTAGCGTAAAGTGCGTCCGTGGCTAAGGGCAAGTGCCTTCCTGCTGGTCTGACTGTTTGTGTCACGACGGACGGGAACAGAGAAGGTCCTCTGGCGAAGGAAGGTCTGGTGTCCAGCTGGCATGGCTCTTAGATCATACATCACAACAAACATCTTCACCACTGTCTTGTTGGGGTTGAATAAGGTCTGGATGGAAAACAAGACAGCAGGACTGAGACAGATTTCTTAAGTCTATGCAGACACAGCAAAGCAGTAGAGGCTGTTTTAAATAAATAAAGTGAACATCCCACTGTACTTAACATCCTAAAAATGTTATTAAGTATGAAGAGGAAATGCTCTGCTTATTAAGAAGTAAAAATCAGCATAAATGAATAAAAACATTCCCTTTAGTCTGCATGTAAAGCAATACAGCCTAATTATAACCACTAGGGGTCTCCCTTCCTTCTTTTTTATTTATTCTTTGTTCTCAACTTTGTGTACACAGTGATAAAAAATACAACTTGTTTTGAGGACATTTCTTCTTTGTTTATATTTCCTTACCACTTGAATGGTTCCTGATGGAGGTACACGGTAGCCTCTTTTCCCCAGGGACTCCAGGTTGATCACACCCTGTGAAAAAACACACACCAACCACTGTGTCACAAACAGGTTCAATAGTACGCCAATCCAGGACTTGGACTTGAGTCTGACTTGAGCCCTGACTCGACTGACTCATGCACCGTGCCATCTTATTCAGCCACAGTTTGTGTTGTGATGATGAGGAGATTGCAGTCAAATAACTATGAATTTTTGGCTAACAGTGTCATATAATTTAAAATTCAGATTAATAACAGGTAGGTTGCAGGTATTTTTAAGTTTATTAGACACCTGCAGTGATCCAACCACAGCAGAAACGATCAGTGCGTCTCCCCAAGACCTTAATGCACAGCGACAGTGGTGTAACTTCATTCATAATTTAAATCTCCAGACATGTTGACAGAAGTCTTTGCTATGCAGGTTGTGGATTTCTTTCAGTTCCTCAAATGTTCCAAAAATACTATTTACATAAATGTTCTCAATCCCCTTAGAGTGCCACCCTTACGGAAGAAAATCTTCCCCTCCTATTTTCAGTTTTGGGTTATTTCAAATTGAAGCTGATCCTATAAAGAAGGGAGATGATCCTTCTTTCTTGTGAATATGAAGCCAGATATTCCTAATGTGAGGGATTACGGGGTTTTGGGTATTAGTCCTAGGACATTGGTTTAAATAATCTACAGCCTTAAACAGGGCATTCAGTTCATCTTTCTTCTTACCAAACAGGCCTATTTTCTCTTTTTACAAGAAGTAATACTATCTGCGTACCCTGGAAGTCTTCCTGATAGAGTCTCATGTTCGGAAGTCTCAGTTATCTTTTATCTATTTCAGCCTGGAGTCTTTGAAGTTTCATCCTAGCCCTTTTCCTTGAATTGACTTATAATTTTAACTATTATGCTGAAAATAGATGTTGGGATATTAAGCAATAACCATTTTTATTGGACTCTCCAAAAAGAGAAAACTAGTGCATGTACTTCCAGGGAAAATGCATACAGGTGCAGGAAAAGAAATGTACAAACTGCAGAATAAAGGAAAAAGGTCTGCACACTGTTCAGCTCCCATAGGGCAATTTTATTTATACTGGGCAACTTACAAGATCTTCCTCAGGCATGGTTAAGAAGCTAAACAGTGTGCAGACCATTTTTCTGTTTTCTATTGTTTGGACTCTCCTCCATTACAAAATCTGTAGTTCATCCCATCCCTTTAGAGGTAGTTGTATCTGTTCAGTGCTTGGTCAAAATGAACAGATATAATGCCTTCAAGTCCTGGGTTCAAAAGTTTCAAACCTAAGGTTTTTTGGGACCCACTGGAATTTTCAAATACTTTTGTATTAAGACTTTTGTAGCATAACTTAGAGAAAGGTGTCACCTAACATTTGGTCCAGTTTATTTTATACCACTATAAAGAGAAGTGGTGATAGTACTGTCACCCTGTTTTGTTTCACAACCTACCAGGAAAGCAGATGATCTCAAACCGTAAGTCATTCCTATAGATTTTGGCTGTTTAAATAAGATTTAATTACATCCTGAAACACCAAATCCAAACTGGTTAGGAGTACAATTTAAATAGCTCCAGCTAATGTGATGGAAAGCCTTTTCATCATCTAGAGAAGAGCAGCTATTTGGGTCTCTAGGTCTTTAG